CAAATCTTGGTCATGCTGCTGCTATTGGGCTACATATGCATCAAAGTGAGTTAGGTCGTAAGCCTGATGTTGCTCATATACTGCTACGTTGGAGTCAAACCAAGCCTCCCACTGGTCAAACCTCTCAACCAGTTGATCTATCTGTGATGGCTTGCTTATAGGAATAGGTGTTGGACCTTCATCATGTTCATCTGCTTCTCGGTAGCGAGCCTGGCAGCGAGAAACACTTTAAATGACATGGAAGAAAGTATCAAAGTAGAAGACTGGGAACTTATCTAGTAGTGAAGAAAATTTGAAGTTGTACTTGGATTCAATGACAAATGTTATGATGTGTCCTAAGGCCAGATTGGGTATTCTCTTATGGTTGAGATCTCTAATATGGGTCAGATTAAAAAGATAATGAATTAAAAGATCAAATGTATTAAATTCTATCTAAGCCATTATGAAGTAAGTTGTAAGAAAAGAACACGAGTGATATTGATTTGATAACCAGCTTTAGGAATGATAGAATTCTAAGTATATGTTGGATGATGTGAGCATCCTAAACTAGCGTTAAATGGGTCCAATCAAACTTGGGCAACGTGGAAGTTACTATTGGATCCTCTAAGGGTGGTATTGACATGGGTCCAATTAAACTCAAAATTTGTAGATAAAATATGAACTTTTTCACCAGTATTGGACAGATGGAGAAAATCATGAAGGTCTTGGTAAGTGATTTTTACTGGTCGCCTATTGATATATAATTGGAGGGCAATATATTCATTATTGATTCACAGACTTGCAAAGAACTCAAAGAGTAGTTCAAAACAAAAAAGATAAACAAGAGTGAGAATGAAGTTCAGAGTGATATGAGTGAACATAGGTAGTACTTGAAAGTGAAGCTCCTCCTGATTGATGATTTTGGATGGTGTGATTCCAGCATCCTTATATGTACTATAGGCATCTTCATAAGCTGCCTCATTAAATTTTGGATCAACTTGATGCTGAGAGGAACTTCCAATAATTTTGTATAACCTCTTGCCTCCATCCATTATAAAGGAATATATTTAAAGGAGAAGAAAAAAGTATTTGAGAATTATAGAGAAGAAGAACATGGAGTTGGGCTATTTATATAGAATCAGTCAGATCATCCAGGACCATAGTGCAATCATCCAGGATGATCAACTGTAATACATTCGTCCAAAATAATCAGTAAATAAAGTTGTTCATAACGTCCTGGACGATTAGATACAAATAGTCATCCCAAGGCGCCATCATGTACGATCATTGACTAAACGGATTGTACAGGACAAACACATGGATCATCCAAGATGATTCATAATAATGGATTGGCCTAACAGCATTTAAATCATCCAACCATTTCTGCCACGTGGATCGTAAAGGACAAAATGATAATATTCTAGTATGATCAGCAATAATTGACTCAAATTAACCATTGGATGAGTAGTAATTGGTGATTGCATTTTTATTAAGATCGTGTAGCATGATGTGGATTGTTCTGGATGATGTGAGAAAAAGTTAAAATTTTTAAGAGATGGTACAGGCTAATTAAGAGGATTCTAAAACAAGAATAAAAATACTAAAAATATAAAACAACACAAAAATTAAACAAAAAAATATTCATAAAATAAAATAAAAGAATATAATTTTTTTTGAATTGATCAACTTTAATAAATAATAAATTTCCCTTGGGAGTGATTAAAAATAAATAAGAAATGAATTAACAATGTTGAAATCCAAAAAAGGTAAAAAATCAATCTTGTGAACCCTAGCTTGGATAACAAAATAGCAAAAGTATCTACATGGTTGCCCCCTTAAATATTGGTTTGTGAGCAGATTATTAATATCAGCTCCATTTATTGATAGGTTATCAGAAGTAAATATAAAGTCGTCACTATAAAAAAATAAAGGAAAAAATTAAAGTGCAAGGAAAATGCAAGTAAAGCACATGTAAAGCGCAACAAAAGCGCACGTAAAGTGCATTAAAAGTGCACGTAAAGTTCATTAAAAGTGAGCGTAATGCGCATTAAAAGTGCAACTGAAGCGCACATAAAGTGCATAAAAAGTGCAACTAAAATGTATTAAAAGCGTAATTGAAGTGCAAGTAAAACAAATGTAACGAGCATTTAAAGAACACGTCAAGCACAAATAAATAAACTTACTTTTTATCAAAAATCCTGAAATAATCATCCATAAAAATTGTTGCTCATTAATTAGAAAATCCTTCCGGGGATATTCTATTGTATGTGCTAGTTGATATACGAATTTCAAATTTTCAATAGAAAGAACATCATGGGTCTGCGTTGGTTTCTCCGGTCTTTCAGAGGGTTTATTTTCATCTTATTTCCTTTTTAGTTTATGTGGTTGGTATTGGGTGATCTCCTTGGAAGTACTTTATATTGGCTGAACATCTGTTATGGGTGGTTGTTGAATAATATATGTAGTGTCTGCTAACGGAGGAACATCTATAGTGGTGGTGGTGGATGGACATCTTTATTGGGTGGTGGTGGAGGAATATCTTTATTTGATGGTGATGGAGGAATATCTTTATTGGGTGGTGGTGAAGGAACATCTTTACTGGGTGGTGGTGGAGTAACATTTGTAGTTCTGGGTTTCTTTACAAATTGGATACTTGAGGAAGATGAAGATATAGAAGGTTAATTAGGATAATATTCATATTGGATCAGATGGTGGATTGATTTATATTATAAAGATTCTACCATTGCTTCAAATTTTTCTAAATTATCTTCAATTCAATCCACCCTTCTACCCAAAATTTTCTTCAATTTTATTATACATGTTTTACAATGCAACTAGTTATTTATTCTGAATAGTAAACAAATCTTCACCTTTAGGAAGAGATGGTTGACTAGAAGGTTGACAAGGAGTTTGAGCTGGAGTTTGAGGGGTTTCTTGATGTGGAGAATAGGGAGAGGGAGGTGGGGGTGTCAACTTTTTTGGTTGTGTTGAGTGGATTTTGTGGGGATATTGATGAGTTCAAATTTTTAGGTTTTGAATATGATTTATGTTAGCCCCCAAATTTTCTTCTTTCTCATCAGTAAAATTCTTTAGAATAAGATAAATTTGCACAAAATTTAAAACTAATATTAGCAAATATATGATATTTCTAAAATATAATAAAATACTTATAGTTGTGCTTATGTTGCACTTTAGTTGTGCTTTTCATGCTCTTTAATTGCACTTTTCATGTGTTTTTCATGTGATTTAACTTTATTACATTTTTGTTGCGTTTGATATCAAAAAATTATCAGATGAAATTTATTCTTAAAACGTACCTCCTTTTATCTTCAAAAATTTAAATAAAGTGAGAGCAATGTCTTGGGCATAAAATATATTAGCATTCCCTTCCCATATAAAAAAAAAAAACATTATCTTAATTCTGGATTGGTCGGTTTATTTATGGAGAAGTGTTCCAAACACTAAATCTGCATAACACCACACATAAATTAATATTATTTAATATTAAAAACCATTATGAGAGGAAAAAAGTAGAAGAAGAAACTTACCAGTATGAGAGGAAAAAATCATCGATATAACCTAATGATTTCTTCATTGCAAACTTATTTACAATTTTATCGAATTCTTGAACGATGAAATCCGTAATACTTGCAGCCCAATTAATAGAAGAGAACCAATTTACATTATTTGTTATATATATGAGCCTTCTTGGAGTTTTGTGGTTATTTAAGGAAAAAATAAATTAGATACCAAAAATATTATAAAGGTTATTAACTTAGTTGCATTATCAATTGATCTATTTAATTTTGACATTTCAATTTTTATTTCTTTTGATAGTGGTCCTGTGAGGGTATCAATCTTCTATTTGATATCAGCACATCTGTTAGGCAAACTTTTGAGAAGATTTTTGTTTAATTGACCAAACATAATACATTGAAAAATTAAAAAAACTTATCGATAATTCCGTATTTAAAATCAAACATGTCAGTAGAGCCACCTCATTAGGAGTGAATTTAAGCAAATGACCATTTACAATGAAGCCTTCATCAAAATAATTCTAAAATTTTAGAATATCATATAAAAGTTGTATATACTGTTGGAATGCCGGGAACTTCAAAAATTGATGAATGTGCAAATTCCTCAAAGTGTCATCAACTTCTTGGTCAATTATCACCACAAAAGTATCGTAAATTTTTTCTGAAAATGGTAACATTGTATCGAGAAGTAACATACCCTTGATAGGGAGCCATCTAGAAAAAAAGTATTATAAAAGAAAATTAAGGACAAATGCAACTAAAGCGCAACAAAAGTGCAACTAAAATGCAACAAAAGAGTAATTAAAATGCAACAAAAGCGCAACTAAAGCTCCATTTCAAAATCATTTAATTTAACTTATATTCCTGAATGAGAAAGTTGAAAAACCAAACAAAATCATATTAAAATTTTTTTGAAGAAACTAATATGTATGAAATGAATCATAAACCCTAAAAAGTAAAATCACACATAAAGTGCAACAAATGTGCAATATAGGCGCAACAAAGGCAAAATAATACCTTTTCTTAAATGCAGTCTAAGTACTCCAACTTTGCTACTGCCGAGAAGGTCCTGGAGAATAGAAATGCCGGAGGATCGGAAGAAATGTTTATGGAGAACCGCACGAGGGCAAGTAGTGAGAAGTAAAAAATGTCAGGTGAAAAGTAAAAATGCCAAATTTCCCTTCTTGTATTCATGTATTCAAATAATGCGGGTTAGTGGGTCAGGTCGGTCGGGTTGACTATACATAAAGCATGAAATTATACACAAAAAATTTCATATATATGCATTCATATGTCAAGTTTTTATTGACGTTCGAATGCAGAGCTACTTGTGATCTCCTGTGATCTCCGCACCTAATAATTTTCCTAAATTTGAAACGGAATAATGAGAACCTTTTCTTAAAAAGTCCAAACTCAAGATCTAGTAAAATCATGACGCTGACAATAAGAATAATATAAAATATAAATATACATTAAAAATCAACGTAAATCATCCACATATTAGCCCTTTTGGGAGTCTCTACTGCCTCTAAAGCCGAGATGTGGAGGTCGACAGGTCGAGCTCTCGTTCTTCCCAGATCAATCCGACAGAACTTTTCTCCAAATCCAACCCCAGCGGTAGTCACATCTTCGCCGCCGTCGCCATCCAAATTTCTAAACCGCATCTATCCTACCTTCCGGAGCTCTAGGTTCTTTTTTTCCGCTACTGAATGCTCGCCGGGAGAGGACGAAGCATCGCATAGAGCCGAAAATTCTGTTAAAAACCCAGACTTCTTCTCCCCAGAAGTCGGTTTTTCTTCAGTAGAGCTAGGGGAATCAAATGCTCTCTCAAAGGCATTCGGGGATGGGGCCGATGAGGACGAGGTCGGAGAAGGAGATAAACTGAATTCTATGTTGGAATTAAGCATCGATGGCGATGCTCTCGTTGGAGCTGAGGAAGTTGCGGAAGAAGCCGCAGCTGAGGTTCATGAGGTTAATCTCGATCAGCTTGAGAGAGTTCTATCCATTCTCCAAAGCACTTTACCCCAGGAGATTGGATCGAGCTTGGATAGCCTTGAAGAACTACAGCTAAGTGAGGAGTTTGTGGTGAGAGTATTTCAGGATGCGCACGTTTCCGGTGAGAATTTGGTTTCTTTCTTCATATGGGCTATCAGAAAAGAAAAAGCTGCGAAAAGTTCAAGGGCATTAGACATCCTTGTCCGTACGATCAGTGCATGTGATGATGCTAGCCAGTTGGAAGCCTACATGTTGTGGGATTTGATTAAGGAGTTGGGCAAAATCGAGGGTATTGTAAATACTGATATGCTTAATGAACTTATATCTATTTTCTGGAAGTTGGGAAAGGCCAAAGCTGGTCTGGAAGTTTTTAACAAGTTTGATGAGTTTGGTTGTGCTCCTGATGGATATACGTTCTACTTTACAATAGAAGCTCTTGGGAAGAAGTCCATGATTGATACAGCTTGGTCTGTTTGTGAAAAGATGCTTAATTCTGGAGGTCTGCCTGATGTTGAAAAGATTGGTAAGATCATCACCTTCTTCTGCAAGGGAAAAAAGGCAAAAGAGGCCCATTTGGTCTATCTGCTAGCTAAGGAGAACAACATCCTTCCTGGACGAGATGCTCTAAGTTTTCTAATTGGTGGTCTATGTAGAAATGATGAATCTGTCCTCTTGGCTTTGGAGTTATTGGAGGACTGTCCACAAGAGTCACTTAAATATGAGAATAAGACCTTCTCTTTAGTTGTGAAGAGTTTGGCCAGGATAAAAGATGTGCAAGCTGCTAAATCATTGCTTTTAAGAATGGTTGTTTCTGGTCCACCACCTGGAAATGCAGCATTTAATTATGTTATCACAGGGCTTTGCAAAGAAGGAGATGTAGAAGATGCAATAGCTCTGACTAAGGTTATGGAAAGCAGAGGACTTAGGCCGGATGTGTATACTTACAGTGTCATCATGAGTGGTTTTGCGAAGGCTGGTCTAATGGATGAGGCTTTTAAGGTCTTCATTGAAGCTAAGAAGAAACATAAAATATTGTCACCAGTAATATATCACATACTTATTCGTGGTTATTGTAAGCTAGAGGAATATGAAAAAGCACTTGAATGCTTGAAAGATATGAAGGAACACACAATACAGCCTAATGCTGATGAATACAGTAAATTAATTAAGACTCTGTGCCTCAAGGCCGTTGATTGGCGTACAGCTGAGAAACTGTCAGAGGAGATGAAAGAGAGTGGTTTTTACCTCAGAGGGGAAACCAGTAGTCTCATAGCAGCTGTTAAGATGCTAGAAGAGGAAATAACAGCAGTTGAATAAAAAATCAAAGCTTAACCGATGACTGGAGCTGGGAAGAATTGTGGTAATTTTATGCATTTGTTTTATAAATTTAGCTGTAATAGTTAGTTGAAAATTGTATTTTCATTTCACTCTTTAATGTGTAATGTTGTGGAAACACTTTCCACCTGGAAATTTGCAATTATAATTGCATCCATGTTTTTTTGTTTTAACTTTGGGTCCTTTTTGCTTTTAAATCTTAACTTTTGATAATTTTATGTATAGATATTATGATTTTTTTATATTGAAAACCTAACTAATTTAATATCTTTTTGAATGACCGATACTAGGACTTTCTAACAAGAGTTCAGATTGTGTAGTAGGACCTGTTATTTCACTGTTTGCGATTACACACCAGCAAACCGCTTAGATGAAAGATCTAGAATCTAAATTTGCCAAATAACATTTCTTATAATTAGAACACGACAAACTAGCTTAGTAAAGTCTGAATTTAGGCAATTAAAGAATTATTTTAATTTGTTAATTACAATAATAATAAATCAGTGAGCTTAATTAATTATTTTAATTAATAAGTTTTATCCTTTTCACCAAACTAAGCATAAATACAACTAATAAATTCTTGCAACCAAGTAAGTGCTATCCAATTAATATTTGCAAAGTAATAATAATGACATTTGAAGGAACAAACAAGATAAATAACAGTCTTGCAAAACTATAATTGGGGCAGATACATTTATAAAAAGTAGTAAATAACACTATGTAAACCCTATCAAGAATCTACACAATTGCATTCTATAACAAGAAATATGTAAAAATAAAAAAAAATAATCCATAAGAATGAAGAACACAAATATTATGTGGTTTGGCATGGGGTGCCTACATGCACATGTAGAGAGAGAGGGCTAATCTTTTGTTTAACATCACAAATAATATTACAATGTTACAAGAATAGTAGTAGATTGTAGATCTAGGCTTAAAATAAAAGAAACATAAAGGAAAGATATTACCTGCTCAAATCTTGCCATGACAAAAAAAGCTGTTGTCTGATCTAATTTTTTCCTTGCCTAAATAGTCGATCTCCTGATGCCCTAACTTTGGTCTTGAGCTATTGTTGTGAGCGAGAAGTCTGGAATTGAAAGAATCAAATGTCGAGATCCCTATTACAGCTCTTGATCTCATGCAAGTCTCCATCTAGGCCGCAAGAAACCGAAGAAGCCCTCGATTGCGTAGTTGCTCGATCGCCTCCCTCTAGGATGCAAGAAACTGAGGAAGCCCTTGATTGCTCAGCTGCTTGATCGCTTCCCTCGCTCATGCTTGACGTTTTTTCTTGCTCCTAGCTATTGGTTCACTATAGCTCTTGTTCTGTGTCGGCCCCACCCGTTAATAAAAAGACAATAAAACACAGAAATGACGATACAAGAGGTTATATGTAAGGCTACACAAGAACCCAAATTTTATTAGCATTGAAAACGGGAATAGGAAAGTTAATTATGCAAATTAAATCAACTAATATTTGATTCACAATTTAACAATTTCCATCTTGAATCTAATATTAGATAAGTCAATGCTTTCTTTCTCATAGAACCTCCTTAACCAAGAGGTCTATCTACCTGAAGCAAAGCCAGACAATGCTAAAATTTTGTTCCAGACATCACCTGCGTAAGTATTTGAGTAGGATTCTTATCTGTATGAACTTTTTTAAACTCCACAGTGCATTGTGCTAGAACATCTATCACAAAACATATTCTGATATCAATAAGCTTTATTTTTTCATAAAATGTCTTATTCTTCATTTACTGAATTGTACTTTGATTATCACACCAGATAAATTTTTTTTTTTTTCATTTTTGTATTCTCAAGCTCCTCAAGAAATCCTATAATCTAGATGCTTTCTTTTACCATGTATTCTACCTCTACAGTTGATAAAGCCACAATTGATTGAAGATGTTATTTTCAGCTAATTGTGTTACCATAGACTGTAAACACATATCCAGTTTATGATGTACTCTTGTCTATATCTCCTGTGTAATTAGAATCCACAATACTTGAAATATGATGTATACCCTAACTTCCCTTTTTGGAAGTCAAACCAATATCAATTGATCCTTTGAGATATTTGACGATCCACTTAATATACCTCTAGTGCTTTTTTTAATGATTAAAAATGAATATGCAAATCATACTCTGGCACAAGCAAATATCTGGCTTGGTGCAAACCATAAAGTACATGAGACATCCATCTGCACTTGCATAGGAAAATGAACACATATCTCCTATTTTTCTTTGTTGTTGGAGATAATGAATTGTGAACCAAATGATAATAAAACTGATTTTTCAGTGCCCATTTCAAATTTCTTCAAAACTTTTTAGATATATTTGTGTTGAGATAAATATAATAAGTCTTTATCTCTTTGTCTTTGTTGACCCCTATACCTCAAGCCATGCTCTAGAGGAACTCAAATTGGCAAATTTAGCGATGCGCGCGTTGACGTGACGTATCACTTGAAGGTTCAAACAACCTCTAATTGCCAAACAGACTTCACCGTTGCGATCAAAACATCGAATTCTCCTAAGTCGAGGCCCCTTGCTATCAAATCTGATGAGATCGATGTAAATGGACTACCGACACCCAAACGACTTCCAATCGCAGAAAGTACTTTGCTGTTGCGTTCGTAACATCATTGACATTCAAAATATACATCTTATCTGATTAATTGGAATCGATAGAGCTAATGGCACGAATTCCAAGTCGATGACACACAAATTGAGGAATTTAGCGCTTAACGTCACGCAAATAACGTTCGATTGCAGAACAGACTTTGGCATTGCATCTGGAATGCCATGACATTCAAAATATACATCTTATTTAATCAATTAGGATTGACCGAGGCGGTGACACGAATCCCAAGGCGACGACACAAAAATTGTAAAATTTTGCACTCGACGTCGCCCAAACAACGTCCGATCACAAAATGGATTTCGTCATTGCGTACGAAACGTCGTCGACATTCAAAATATATATCTTATTTGATCAATTGGGATCATCCGAGGTGGTGACACGAATCCTAAAGCGACGATATGCAAATCGAGGAATTTGACACTCAACGTCATTCAAATGAAGTCCGATTGCAGAACAGACTTCATCGTTGCGTTCAAAATATCGTCAATACCCTAAATACTTTATCAATTTGCCCGAAGAAATTTACACGACAAGATGGACACGTAAAATGAGACAAAGATGAATACCAACTGAGAAAATTACTTGCAAATCAATGCGGTTTTGACTGGTGATGGCATCTATGCCATTTTGAATCAATATACGGTGACATAGCACTAATATAGTTTTTTTTTAAATGTGCAAGGATTAGGAACTAAATAGGGAAAAAGGTCAAGTACATTAAATGCACATTAATACTTTCCTTGCTCAGTCGAAATCCAGTCATGGAACTTCCTCGTATCACTGTCGTGGCCTCTACCTTCGTCGTTAAAACAAGTAAAACGAAGTTTGTTCGTAGGTCCTGTAGTTTTCTACGCACGAAATCTTCGCAAAAAATCCATTGTTTCCTTTAGTTAACTTCAACCTCCACAATTCTGATTTTTAGGCTGCCCGTCCTTCTTCTCCACATAAGCATCCTTAAGTGCTGAAATCCCACTAAACAACTAACTTCTCCCTCTCACGAATCCAATTCCACCTCACGACTAGTTCCACGTTCTTTCACTGAACCGCAACCCTTACTTGGCCTTCTCCAGTCTCCAACTACTGATTAGAAGCCTCCTAGCCATGCAAATTCAAACTTTTGCAGCAATGGAGTTAGGCTACAAGCTCAACTGAACTTAAAAATTTACCGAGCAAAAATGGTGAAATCATTTGATCAAATGGTGTGTCATCGATCATTTCAAAAAGAGGAATTGGTCATAGTACTGAGAAGGCCAATCATCCCACACCGAAAAATTGATGGAAAATTTGTGTCGAACTGAGAAAACTCCTTAATCATTGAGAAGGTGTATCAAGGAGGAGCTTATCAGTTGATCGATCTTGATGATAAGAGGCCCATACAATCGATTAATGATCGGTACTTGAATAAGTATCATGCAAATGGATAAATGTGTATTTAAAATTTTATTCTGTACTTCATATGTATCTGTTAGCACATGTACGACGTATGTTTCAAAATTTTCTTGTAATACAAGAATGCACCTCAAAAAAATAAAACTATGGGGCATTTTAAATATTTATTTTAGTTGACATTACGCAGCTTGTCAAGATCCCTGAATAATATTTAAAACTCCGAAATGCCAAATTTATTTCATTTTAAAATATCCCTGGGAGATAGAGGGTCTTTTAATATTTATTTGAGTTGACCTCATGCTACGTGCCAAAATCCCCAAGTAAATAGTTAAAATCCCAAAATTTCAAAATTACTTTCTTAAAATCTTCTTGCTAGATATGAGATATTTTAAATATTTATTCAGATCGACACTGTGCTGTGTGCCAAAATTCCCGAATAAATATTTAAAATCTACTACGAGTATTCCTTCAAATCAGGATGTGACAATTTTTACTATCAACGCATATGTCGTTAATCTTCCAATCAGTTCGGGACACCACTTTCCCTGGGATACTAAAATTTCAAAGGTCAAGAAAAAGATTTTTTCACGACTACATACTTTAATAAATAAAGATGGAACAGCCTGAAATCTTTCAATAGCCTGAAGCTTAAGTTTCGAATGGGTGTAAAAGGTCGGATCTAACAAGCCCAAATATATCGCTGACAGCTCCGTCTATTCAACACACCATAAGAAAAGCCATAGTAGCGAAACCCCCACTTCGTCAACCCGTCAGTAGGGACGGTAAATAACACAAAGGCTAATTGGACTCAATAAGTTCAAGTAGTCATAGTCCATAAGATTCTCCTAATTGACTGGAGAATCAAAAGTTCTCGTGGGAAGGGTGAGTCATGAGCAACTACCGAATGTGCTTAGACTCCAAAACTATATCCACAAAGGATGATTTGAAATCTATCAACTTCTGTAGATTCAGCATTGGAAGCACGTTTCCTATTGCTCAAGTATGAAACCTGAATGGGTGTAAGAGGCCGGATGCAACAAGCCCAAATATGACGGATCTCTGGCAGCTCCGTCTTCTCAGCTTCGTATACTCAACATACCATAAGAAATGCCATAGTAGAAGAACCCTTGTTTCAATAACTTG